AAAGAGGAGAGGTTTAGATTAGATATTAGGAAGAAGTTCTTCACTGTGAGGGTGGTCAGACACTGGAACAGGTTGCCCAAGGAAGCTGTGGATGCGCCTCCCTTGAAGTGTTCAAGGCCAGGCTGGATGAGGCTTTGAGCAACCTGGTCTAGTGGAACGTGTCCCTGCTGCTGGCAGGGGGGTTGGAACTGGATGAGCTTTAAGGTCCCTTCCATCCCAAACCAGTCTGGGATTCTATGATATAGATGTAAAATATATATCTATATATTTAAAAATATATATCATATATATGTAATATATATATGTAAATATATCTCATATCTATAATATGTATATAATATATATAAACCATGTATTTGTAACTGGGATGGGGTACTCTGCTCAATAATCCATCTCCTGGCTTCCTGCCACCCTCCTGCCAGGGAAGGTTTCGCTTCCCCTGGTTTTTAGTTTTTCCTTCTCGGTGGGTTCCCCCGCCGCCGAGGTGCTGCGCTAACCACCGCGCTGTCCCTTGCAGGTTTTCGGGGCCTTGGAGAAAGCCAAAGAGAAATACCGCTTGGAAGACTATTCGGTGAGCCAGATCTCCCTGGAGCAAGTCTTCATGAGCTTCACTCGCTTCCAGCACTACACAGAGGACCGAGGGAAATGAGCAGGAGCCCCACCGGTGCCCTTCGTCATGGACTGGCCCTGCTGCCTATACATAGTATATATAGAGACAGTAATTTATATATCGACGTGTCTTAAATAATGTATAAATGTAAGGAACTTTTCACCAGGGAGGGGGGAGAGGATGGCATCGTACCTTCTGCTGTGGGGAACACGAGTGCCTCGCGTGCCGGTGCAGGGCTGGGTGTGAGTGTGTGCGTGTGACACTCCCAGCACCAGCCTGCCATGTTTCCCCCCCCCGCGAAAAAAAAAAACACAGCCCAAAAAAGTAGAGGGACGCCTGGAGGGGTGGAGATGGGGATTGGGCTGGCAGAGGAGCAGGATGCTGTCCCCAAACAGCACCCAGCAGGATGCTGGTTCGTAGGTTTGCCTGTGTGTGGCCGTGTCACCATGTCACAGTAGGTGCTTTGCTGGTGGGTTCCCAGGAGGCTGGCGAGTGGCTCAGATCCAGGCCGGTCACTGGGTCAATGAGGATGCACTGTGGTTGCCCGTAGGAGCACTTTGTGTCTAGCTGGAGGGGACAAGGTGAGTCTCCTGCCTGTCCCCTGCCTGGCACCGGGGAGGCTCTGACTCCTTTGGCCTCTTGGACAGCGCTGTCCCCTCCTGCCTGCTGCCCACCCATGGGGACAGCTGCAGAGCCAGAGCTCAGGCCAGGGCGGTGTCACAGGGTGCCTGGGGACGCTGCTGGGCCCAGGGAGATGGGTGAGAGAAGAGGGTCCATGAGGAGGTTGACCCCCAGCACTGCCCTGCAGCGTGCTGTGCCACCGCAGGAGCTGTGTTGAAGGCCAGTGATGCTCTTGCTGCACCATGTCCTGCTCTGCTCTCTCCTTACACCCCACAGAGCTCTGACCAGAGCACACCCGTCCTGTGTCCCCCTCCTTGTCCCCATCCACCGTCCTGCCCTTGCCCAGCGGTGTGAGACGCTGCTGGACACGGTGCACAAGGCACCAGCACCACCCAGCCCTGCCTGCGCCCAGTCAGAGGCAGCAACTGGGTTTTCTTTTTGGTGGTTCCCAGTGCTTGGGTTGCTTTTTTTTGTTTGTTTGTTTATTTGTTTTAGATCCGTGTTGATTCTTGTCTGTCCTTAACTAGTCCCTGTGTCACCTGGGGGCAGTGGGCTTGGCCAGCTGCTCCATGATCAATGCAGAGCTATTTGCACTATAGGAACACTCACAATTGCACAGAACTCAATGAATGATTATTTATGGCGAGGGGCGCTGGTTCCCCTCGCGCGATTGCATTGGCAGGGGTTGGGTTAGATTTTTGGGTTGGGTTTTGGTTTCATTCCTGTGACTGACTCATTCCTTCCTGTTCCATTTGGGTTTGGTTTTTGGTTTTGTTTTTTTTTCCCCTTTTGCCTAATGTTGTTGTTCAAAATGATGGTGCATCATGTTACTAAGAATTTCCCTGGATCTTAACCATGTGTGGTTTTTATTAGTAAGCAGCCAGCAGGTGACTGGCCTCCCTGGAACACAGCAGAGCTGCTGGCACAAAGGGTTTGCTTCCTGGGAGCATCTCTGCACTGGGAAAACCCCAGCCCTGTGGAGTCACAGACTGGTTTGGGTGGGAAGGGACCTTTCAAGCTCATCCAGTCCAACCCCCTGCAGTGAGCAGGGACATCTTCAACCAGATCAGGCTGCTCAGAGCTCCATCCAGCCTGACCCTGAATGTTTCCAGGGATGGGGCTTCTCCCACCTCCCTGGGCAACCAGGACCAGGGTTTCACCACCCTCCGTGTAAAAAATTTCTTCTTTATATCTACTTTGAATCTTCCCTCTCCTGGGAGCAGCACTTGTGCAAGAAAAGGTGGGGATGCTTTATGGTGGGAGCCACCAGGGAGTGCTGGGACTCCCAGTAACAGGGGTTTTGTTGGAAGAGGAGATGTGGCAGGATGCAGCAGCACCTTTGGGGCTTCACCTGGGCTGGGGAGCAGTGGGAATATGGGATTTGCAGGAGGGTGAGATGCCAAATTGGCACAGGCTGGCAACACCCTGAGGGCAGTGGCAACAGGCAGGACAGCCAAGACATCCCCCCCTGCCCCCAGCACAATGTACTGGTGACCCCTGTGCAGGGCTTGCTCCTGGGGTGGGTGGCACAGCAGTGTCACCCCACAGAGGCCATGAATGCCAGGGCAGAGCCAGTGGCAGAGGAGTCAATGGCATCCACTAGCTCCCCACCACTGGGGTCATCTTGGCCTAAATGAAGAAAGTCTTAACGAGGCAGCGCTTCTCAGCTGTACACTGCTGTCACAAGCCTCCCTCTCACCAAGGCAGGAGCTCCTGGCTGTGCCATCACCATCGATCCTGTGATGGTTCAGTTACAGCCACCAGCCCAGGGAGAGAGGCAGGACCACTCACCAGATGGGTGCTGCTGCTCAGGGTGACCAGGATTTGGGTGACCAAATTTTGAGCTGGCAGGGTCATGGCTGCTTTTGGCAACACTTGTGGTGGCCACGTAGGGTGGGAGAAACATCACAGGTCCCAGGTGGCTGTTGCTCCCCTCTGGCTGCAGTGCAGTTGTTGTTCCCATCATAGGAATAATAAAGATTATTTTTTTTCCAGTGGGTGGTTCCTGGCCTCCTTTGGCATCAGAAAGCCGCTCCAGCCCTGGTGGGCCTTGGCTGCTCAGGCTGTGCTGGCCTCCTGCTCTCTGCTTTGCTGGGAGGACACAGGGGAAAGGGGGTGTCCTCCAAAATCAAGCCTGGAAGGGCTCAGTCCAGCCCAGAAAAGCTGAGGGATATTTGTGTGCCAGGTGGCCCAGGGAGCAGAAGTGGGGTGTCCCATCCCTTCCACTGCAGCTTGGGGCTCTAAATGACTTTTGTCAGAGCAAGGTCAAAACTCTCCATGGCAGGGATGGGTGCTGGCCCTGGCACCCTCATTCCTGCAGCTTTACCCACCTCTGTACCACAGCCTGGCTCTGAATCACGTCACCTGCAGGTGCCCATGTGTCACCCACCCCAATCCCAAACATACCCCCAAGGCTGAGCCCAGGGAGATGAGGCAGCACTGGGACAAGGCTGCACCTCCAAGGAAGACAGGGAGATACAATCATGGAATGGTCTGGGTTAGAAGGAACCTTAAAGCTCATCCAGTTCCAACCCCCCTGCCATCAGCAGGGACACCTTCCACTAGACCAGGTTGCTCAAAGCCTCATCCAACCTGGCCTTCAACACTTCCAGGGAGGAGCAGCCACAGCTTCTCTGGCCAACCTGGGACACTCTCTCACCACCCTCACACCAAACAATTTCTTCCTCAGTCTCCCCTATTCCACTTTCAAGCCATCACCCCTTGTTCTGTCACTTGTGCCCTTGTCCAAAGTCCCTCCCCAGCTTTCTTGTATCAACCACAACAGGCTCTGTATTTTTGGAGAGGCCACTAGAAGGTCTCCCTGGAGCCTTCTCTTCTCCAGGCTGAACAGCCCCAACTCTCTAAGATGCTCCAAGGAAGACAAGGAGATGCTCCAAACCCTTTGCCTCCTTGGCACCTGCTGAGCCAGGACTCAGCCTCAAGCGTTCCCCTCCACAGGGACAGCCCAGGGCACGACGCTGAACCCCAGCAGCTTCACCACCTCCTGCAAACACATCCTCCCCGTCCCGCAAGCGCCTCGCCACTGGCAGTTTCAGCACTTTATTGTCTGAGGGTCCTGCTACAGCACCCCACTGTCCTCCCCGTGG